CTCCCCATACATTGTCTTTTGGGGCTGACTTTCATTTGTGACTTTAAAATCAACAGTTGTTTTTAAAAAATACCTTGGATCTATCGAAACTTAGTGATCTGATCATTTCTCAACCTGAAGTAACCACTCTGATTAAGGTATGTCAGGCGCACCATATTTATTTTTTTAAATCAGCACCCCACCTCAAATAAGTGCCACCTCCCCCCCCCCCTGCAATAAAAATGGAAAAAGAAAAAACTGAAGAGTACAAGAAAAGCACTTATTATTATTTCTTTACTAGCTTCTAAAAATCTCTTAATTATTTGTCATCTCTACATTGTGTTATTATTTTGTTACAAAATAAACTTGTTACTTGCTCTAAACTGGGAAAATTTAATAAGTGCCTAGTCTAGAATAAGAAGCTACCCTTAAGGTTCAACAATTAAATATTAAGCATCCAGAGTGCTTAATCAAATAAATATGATATCAGTTACTGTGGTAGTGATGTCCATTTGGTAATATGAATTTTATGGCAATGTGATTGGTTACACCATTTCGTATCTGTTCAATTAGTTGGATAGTTAGTTTCATTAATTATTCAATTATTCAATAACAACATAATCCTGTTTTGTTGCTAAGGTTTGAGTGATTACTACATTTAACCTAAAATTACCAGTCAGAATATTTGCAATTAAATTTGTGACTGATTGTTGACTTGGGCATTATCCTCATGAACTAACAAGCAATGGAAATCTCAAGCTCATGATTTAAACTGTAAGCTACAAGTGCAATAATGTTATATCAGTTCTATTGTTACCTCTAATTGTGCAACTGAGATGTGATGTTTGTAAGGTGCTTATATTATTTCATTGCCTCTTTAAATCAAAGGTAGTGAATGATGATGACCAAGAAAGCAATGGTGAAGCCAAAAATGATGATGATGATGAATCAGAAGATGGTGTTTTTGGATTGACAACTGTGATTGACTTAAAAAAGCATAAGGTTAACGAGTAAGAATTCCTATGAAAAATTTTTTTCTGAGATTGTTTCACATTGTGATCAAGAAAATTGTGTGCCTTGTTAGTTTTAAGAATATGGTAAGAACAAAAAAAGGCACATGAGTTGGAGCCAAGTGTGTCACTGACATGAACCACAGAGACCATTTTAAAGTGGTAGGGCTTAAAAAAATCCGGCCAATACAAACAAATGCTGAGGAAGTGTTTGTCATTTATGTTACACAGCTTTACTGAGCCTTTGACTTGAGGCAAATGTGTAAGAGCAGATGCATTTTATTACTTTCAAGGAGTAAAATCCATATTCTGTCCATCTTAACTGGAGCACTAAAAAATAAATCCCAGCAATAAAAGTGGTAGGGCTATAGCCCTACTAGCCCCTCCCTCTCCACGGTCCCTGACTGATGTTCGCACCACATTTTTTTGTCATCTGTGATTTATTAACTGAACAAACCCACAGTAATAAGGAATTGATTTGTTAATTTCATTGATAACTTCCCAGACCGTCAATTATACTGTTTGTGTGAAGGTGTAGTCTGATCGTCCGGGTGACTGTAGTCCTGAGAAGGACTGTTGTCGGTGGTAGTGACTGACGTTTCGACAACCTCCATACAAACGACTCATTCACGACATAAACATCACAAACGACCGAAAAAGAACGACCTAACTTTACCGACAGATCGAAACAGACCAATCACGACCGACTTACGTCACTTGAGTCTTACAGCCAATAACATCACGGCAAAACCAACTGATCATTCACTTGACTCTGATGATGACTTCCGCACAGGTTGTCGAAACGTCAGTCACTACCACTGACAACAGTCCTTCTCAGGACTACACTCACCCGGACGATCAGACTACACCTTCACATGTTACCCCTGGGTTCAAACCATTTACTGCATTATACTGTTTGTATTACTCAGGAAAGTGATGTCATCAAACAACTTAAAAAGCTACTAACTGATAAATGCCAAGAGTCGGCTTCAAAAGAAGACAAAGCAGAATTTACTGTGGTGATGGATGGACAACATTCTGTAGGATTTCTCATCAGTGAACGTTTTATTAATATCCCACCACAGATAGCAGTGCCAGTTTACAAAACCTTAAGGTACATTTTAAGAGTTATCTCAAATTGTGTTCATGTTTTAATTTGTTTATATATCTTCAAGGGAAGTTCTTCTAAATAGATGATTGTTTAATGGATTAGTACTCAAACAGTGTTAGGTCACAGATTGATGTCTTCGAAGATTACAAATTGCACTTGCCCAGTGGGCTCTTGCAATTTTGTTGTCAAAGGGATGGATATTTTTTCCTAATTTTTTTTTTATTGATTTCTGTACCTTTTGTGAGCCGCTTTGTCTCTTTTTTTTAATTGAAATAACATTTAGTCTTTCTTTTTCTTGTTAGATCTGAACTGAAAAAGGTCCATAAAAAGGTATTTAATTAATTAGCAACTGGGTCTGATACATTTTAAAATTGGAAGTTCAGCCTTTTGCCAATGATTACATCAGCCTGCAAAGGCAACTACCTCTTAGTGCACTGCTAGGACTGTTACAGGCATTGTCAATTACAGAAGGAAATCTAAACTTGATTCATGTAATTTTGCCAGTGAGAGGTATTTTTTCACTTAGACAGAGATACAAGTATAATGCATCTGTTGTCACAATATTCTCCTCCTCATACAATTTTGACAAAAAAGTTGTATATTGATTTGAAATTCAGTTCAGAAATGACACTTGTTAGGGTGAAGATGCACCAATCTCCTATTTTGTAATGATTTGCAAGACATACAAAGACACTGAGACCAAAATGCCACAGAAGTCTAAAAAAGTCAAGACCGAAGAGTCGGCGAGTACATTGAATTTTATTAATGTGGAGGATGAAGTGTTCCTAAGGGTAAGAATGAAATTCTCAATTTATTATATTTCAGATGAGGTTGATAATTAATATTTGTAGTATTGTTACCACTCTGGACAATATTCACCCCTCTTCAACGGCACATTGGAAATAAATTCCCATATCATTAAAAGTCACATGCATGAATACAAGAGTAACTGAGGTTTTAGGTGCAAGAATGATGTTTTGGAAATTTTTGTAGTGTTATGAAAGCCATAGCTGAAACCATGAATCACAATATGCATAAGCCAGTTTGCAATCTTTTTCATCTCACTCTCAATGAAGTTGCTTTCTTATGCTACCTTGTTTGTTTCTTGTCACATATTGAATGGATAATTATGTACCAAACAAAGCAATTATTATTTTGACAAACAAAGCAATTTCCATGTTTGTTGGGGGTGGTTTTTTAGAAATTTGCATTTTTTTTCTCTGTGAAGGGTAACTTTTGACAGAAAGTACACTAAGGAAATCTTGTGTTTCACTCTGTAACCCGGTTATGAATATTTTAGTCATTGACCAGTCAGGAGTGAGATATTTTGCTGAGTAGGGAAATATAGTCTATCATATATCGTGCGTGAATCTTTAATCTTAGCTGGTACATGTTTGACAATTTTTTTTGTAAATTTTGGTTTCCTTGTAGGAGAGTCAATTGTCCTTCAGTTACACAGCCAGTGCAGATGTTGATGAAACCCTTGTAGCTGGAAGATGGGCTTCAAGTGATTGTGAATTAAAACCTTATCGCACTGTCCTGGTGCTTTCTGCTGACAAGTTTGATAAAGCACTTGAAGGAGTAAACATAATGCTGACACAGTAATGATCTCTCTTCAAATGTCTTTACGCAGGCATTGAAAGAAACTCCGTACTTCCCACAGAACATTGTGTAGGGCTTAGATAAAATATCAACAAAGTGTGAAAGTGAAGGATGGGTGTGAATATTTACTATTTGTTTACCTACACCTTGGGTCCCAGGGGTGTTTGGTTTCTCTTTACAAGAATCATAACAGTTGCAGCTCACTTGAACAACTTTGCCTTTGAGTTGGCTTTCTTTGCTCAATTAATATTATCTGCAATGTTAACTTCTTGGGCAGGGGTTTCAAACTAGACCATCTACTATTGCCTACAAGGCCTCTTGCCACCAACTTTTAAGATTTTAATCGTTGGATGTGGGTGGCATCTGTAGAATTTTATCTGCCTACTCCACCATTGGCAGACAGTGGTACCCTTATCCCTTTGAACACATCTGTGAAATGACATGGTGTCATTACAAAGCACCATCCATATATTGGGAAAAGGAAATTGTAGCTATTGATTTTACTCATGTATTATATACAGTCTACACATTTTTATCTAGCTATTAAACAAGTTTGAAAGATCTCCAAATGTCAGACAGTGAATTAATAAAGTTTGAGACACATCTGTTTGAGTGGTCCTCTAGTACTGTACAAGAGAAAAGAAAATGGAACCCCGGTGACCAAGGCTGATTTCAAGTGTACTGGCCAGTATGTGTACATCTCTTGGTCACCCTACCTCATTATGAAGTAGGAACAGCACATGTTCATTTTCTGTGAGATGTTCTAATACACTGAAAAAGGTGGATTGCACTTAGGGAGAAATAAAAAGAAACCCAGTAATTCTAAAAAGAACAACACCTTTCCTTCAGTCTCAAAAGATTTTTATTGAGTTTCATCTGAGATGTAAAATGAACTGATTAGAAGCATTTCTTCAGCAAACCATCTGGAACAAAGGAAGGAGGAAAAAAAAAACTTATTAATTGAGCAGAAGTGAACCGTACATAACACATTGAAATGATCTTAAGCCTCAATGACAATATGTAAAGATATTCGTTTGAACAGGACAGCTTAAATGTAAGCTGACAGTCTAGTCCCTCAATACTGAAATTGAGATTGACATTTTACATTGAGCAATTCTTTAGATTGGATAACATACATGAGTGATGTATTTCAAAATAATTTCAAGTTAAAATGAATTCAAACTAGTTTGATTTGTGTCTTGTTATAAAGCAAAGGGAAACCCAAACAGTCGACCCCATCGCGTGAAGAAGACTCCCATTAAGCAGTGGAAACTTTGCGTTCTACATCCAGTAACCTTGTCACAAGAAAACAGAACAAATTTATATTATCAAATCAAAGTAGTTTCAACCCATTTTGACCTACATCACAATCATAAGATAAATCAAGGCTGATAGTTTTGAAAGAAACTGGGGCTGTGTCGGTGGGAGTAATGAAATAATTTGGATATATCAACAAAGTTGAAATGGTAAATTGGCCACCATAACGATTACAAAAGCTGACATTTCGAGTGTTAGCCCTTTGTCGAAGGGCTAACGCTCGAAATGTCAGCTTTTGTTATCATTATGGTGGCCAATTTACCATTTCAACTTTGTTGATAAATCCAAACTATAAGATAAATCAGTCTGGAAAGCAAGCACCAAAAAACAATTGTTTTTTCTGGTAGATATTGTAACATCCTTCCTTCAATCGAGCAAGGCCAGGTTTTTCAAGAAGGTTGTTTAACAGAAGTTTAGCAGAAAATAAAACAATGCTGTGTTTCCTTTATGCAGTTTGATAGAAGCTTGTGGTGCCTCAGCATTCATTGTCTCCCCACATCACCATGAGAGGAAATTTATTTCCAAAAGGGAATATATGGATTGTATCTGAGTCTTAAAGTAAACACGTGTACAGCTTATCAGAGGGAAATTATGATAATTGGTACAATATTTCCCCAATTAAAGTGTCCCTACACAAATCATTCCAACAAAAAGTTAGATTGCTCAACACAGATATGGGACAAAATTCATTGCCCTTCAATTAAAGATTGATACAACTACTGCTCTATGGTATCTTACTGTCTCAATTGCCTAAATATTCTCTGTTTTCTTTCAGTCAACCATTCACAAGTATGTTGTGACACCTTTTTCATAATAATAATTATAATAATAATAATAATAATGATAATAATCATAATAATTTAATATTATATTGGATATATCAACAAAGTTGAAATGGTAAATTGGCCACCGTNGCGAAGGTGTTCTTCGTTCTCTTATAATATTATATTGGCCCCCTTTCTTCAAATTAGGCCCCCTAAAATGAAAAAGTGGGCCCACTGAGCTCTCTATGGCCAATTTCTAGAATAGACCCTATTCCATGTACAAGGCAATTCTCATTACCATATTTAGCAACATTATCAACAGTTGTCATATGCGTGTCAACAAAGTAAAAGAGTTCTTGGGATGTTGGGCTTTGCTTGAAGAATACATAACGCAAAATTTACCATTAAAGAGATAAGTCGGCCATTATACCCCCCCCCACCAAAACATTTGAGAGCTGGACTGATGCAATTGTCTATGAAACATGAGCGATGCTGTGCTTCTCTTGATCCTTTTGGTAATTAGCTAAAATATTTATTTCTGCGAGTAACTTTGAAAGAATCAAATTGATCCAAAAAATTTTGAACTTACTTATTCTGTTGACATGGCTTGCACCTCTTCCTCTGTGTGCTTTCCCTTTTCGGCCAATTTAGATCTGTTCTTTCTCTCCAAGATCTTCTTGCGATCTTTGTCAAGCTTCAACTTGATAATCTCCACTTTACTTGGGTGAATGCCCACGCTGACAGTGGCTCCATTAGCTTTTTCCCTCTGGATTCTTTCGATGTGAATGATCCATTTCTTGCGGTAGACTTGGATCACTTTTCCAACTTGTTGGCTCTTAAAATGGCCACGTGTGACCTGAACTTCGTCGTCTTTTCGGATCGGCATTGAGCGGACATTGTATTTTTGGCGAAGTTCCTTGCACAGAGGTGCGCTCATAAGTTTTCTTCGCACGCTGGATGGAGCAGAAAAGTGGGCCTTGCGGTTTTTTCTCCTCGAGGATGTGACTTTGCTGTTGAGCTTCATTTTTGAAAATCGACCATGCACTCGAAGCAGAGTAAAAGGAAGAATTATGTAGAGGGGGGTGTTATAAATCTAAGTTGCTTGATTGTAAGACCCCTATAACCGCTGACAGTCTTTATTACGGCGCAGTTGTAATGCAGCAAAACAGTCGCAAAAGCACCAATATTTCGCATCAAAATGGAGCGTAAATGTCAAACAAGAAACATCCTGTGGCGATCTTTTCTAACTTTGACTCTTTTCGCGATCTCAGATTCCATTGCGCTTCGTCTAGACGACAGCCAAGTGAGATACATTCCGTTGACAAGAAAGAACTTGGATGGAGGTTTCCGATTCCTTCGAAGGGACAACTTTCAGTTTGAGAAAGAAATGAGTGAGTTGAATGAGTTAAGATACAGATTTCGGCGAAGCAACGAAGGTTCTTTCCGTGTTCATAATAAAACGAGGATATCAGAGGAGTTTGAGCTCACAGGAGACAATCATACCGTGGCTTTCTTACACTGGTCGGGAAAAAACAGTTCGGTGAGTTTTGTAGCGTGCTACAATTATGCATGCAACATGGCGCACATCGTTAATCTTGCCAAGTCATGCTCTGCTGTTCTGATCTAAGCTCCAGGTTTATAGAACTCAAACTTAAATGAAACTTTTTTCAATGCTCTCGAATCAATTTCGAGTACACTTTGAATGCCACCAATGACATACATCATACACCAGACAATAGTTTTACAAAGTGCGGAAATAAATGTGTGCTCATGATAAGAAATTCTTTAAAAAAATCATCATCTCATTAGCGCAGGTGCTTCACTTTCACATCGAACCTCTCTCAGCCACATGTTGATTTTCCACTTATAAAACTTTGTTCTAAAGTACTTGGTATTCTCTTAGACTGTGAATATTTATTCAGGGCTTTAATTACAAAGTTTTCTCAAAAGGGACATATGTTAACCAGAAATTATAAGATGGTCACCGTGTGAAGAGGCATAAGCCTGCTGGCAATCGTTTTCTATAAGTTATGCAGAATCTCTAAGCTTGATACTTGGACTACCAAGAAGAAAGAGGCAACATTTTACTTATTTAGGAAAATAACCAAAGTTTCATCCAAGTGTAATTTTAGATGATGACTGCTACCCTAATAAATACCTTGAGGCATATAAAACTTGAGTAGCCATAAGGGAAAGTTGTGTAATTTTTGACAGCCCAGAAGTACTTTTATTTATCTGCTGTTTACTTCCTGCTTGTTCATGACAGATAGAGCTTTCATAGAGGACCCCTACCTCTCTTGTTGTAGACCATATTTTATTCAAGGATTTTCCATCCCAAATGGAGCACCTTTCTCTTTTACCTATGTCATTTTTGTTAGCCAGAATCAAGGCTGCAGTCTAGCCATGATGCTTGGCCCCTGGCGCCTTACTTTTGCTCTAGGGCAACTCAGGAACCTTAGTTTTTTCATACGAAGCCTTTGCCGGGCACCCTGGATTTCACAGTTTCAGAGCACTGGGCTCCATTCAATTTTCCTTGAAGCACAGCTTTGGGAATGGCTCTGCTACTTCAAAAGTTTTTGGGGGTTTCCTGCTTTCTCTAAAGATACAGAAAAAATATTCCTAAAAAAATTATTATCAAGTAAATCTGAATGTAGACATCATATGATAATGCTATGATTTTTGTTTCAGGTTATTTACATATACACCTGTGCAAAAGTGAATCAAACTGAAAGTGGAAATTTTATCTGTGAGGATGGATTTTTTTGGAGGTTAGTTCACCTGTTGATTGTGTATCATTTAAACATGTTCTTGATACTTTCCATTTCAGGGTTTATTTTCAATGTGTACTCATGATGATACACTAGGTTGCTACATGTGTAAGGAAGTAAAATGCAATCGGATTGTGAAAAATAAATAATAGTATTAAAAAAAATTGGTGACTATCAAAGACAAGTGTGTTTATCGAGAAATGAAGTAGGAACTTTAGTACACACTTTCAATTTACTAGATTTTCTTAGACTTAGTATGTATTAAGTTGTACTTAATTTATAGAGTTTTAATGTACCTTTTCTTCTGAGGACCCGCTGAAAACCTCTTAAGAGTGATGAAGGTGTCCTCTACAAATATGTACTTTATTATTATCATTAATATTATAGCAAGTGTAAAGTATCAGGGGATGGAAATTATTCTCAACATCTGAAATAAACCGGTCCAGGCCATCAAAATTTAGGCAGAGAAATGTGGATAGTAGCAGGCAAATTCTACGATCTCTGTCACACTGACACACACATGGTGTGCTGGCTGTGTAAATTGGCAAAAATTGGTCATGACAGGTGTAGCTAGTGGAACTGATGCAGTCCAGGTCAAATTGGTGACATTTTGGTCACATGCTATGAATGTGAGTGGAATTAAAAAAGAAAAAAACACTAGCTCTCTCCAAGTTGTTGACTTGCAGTTTTTAAAAGTGGAAATGACAGATGTAGCCAATGGGTGTGAAGTCCAGCCCATATTGGTGATCATTCGGTCACATGAAATGAATGTGAGTGGATTACAAAAAAACAATCAAACAAAGCAGCTACACGTAGCTCTCTGGAAGTTATTTCACTAAGCCATGCACTTACCAATGTTGTTTTAGAGCATGCTATAATTATAAACCCTGTATTTTGTCTTGCATATTGCAGTGGGTCAGCCAGTTAACACTCTTGAATTTTATTAAGTGCATAAAAAATGAATGGTCCGGATTGTATTGAAACTGGATTAATTATTCATGGTCCAGTAATACAAAGGGTACATAATGCCATCCAAAGGATAAATTGCTATCTGCCTGGTTAGCTCAGGTGGTAGAGGGCCAGACTGCTGTGCAGGAGGTCAAGGATTCAAGCCTCAGACCAAACCAACACTCATGGTCTTAAACTGAGAAGAATGTGCTACCTTTCTATCATATCATGAAATGGATAGACGTTCCAGTCCTCTTGGATAAGGATGAAAAACCATAGGCCCCATCTCCTGCATCTTCTCTGTACTGGTTGGCAGGGGACGTTAAATAACCCACATACTTATTGCAGAGAGTAGGAAAGGTAGCTCCCAGTGTTGTGGACTGGCCTATTTACTGAAACTGGGGGCATCTGTTAAAATTACAACACAAAGAATTGTAAACTGCTGCAAGCAGTCTGTTAAGTCCCCTGCAAAACATTGTAATGTGCATTTGATCATATCCCAATGTTAATTTGTGCGATCTAAATATTAAATTACATTGGGGTCAGAAATGCGCTTAATAAGAATCTATTTTATTATTATTATTATTATTATTATTAATCATGTTATTAAGTGTTAACAACATATACTGTGCTATCCAGTGGGCCCCAGTTGTCCTAAGGCTGGATAATGCTATCTACTGGATAGATCTCTATCTGGTGGATAGCGCAGTATGTTTTGGTAACACTTATCCACTGGATAGTGATTTGTCTGTTGGATAGTGTTATACACTCTTTGAACAACAGGGCCCAGATAGATGTTTTTTATCCAGTAGATAGCTTGTCCATTCTTTGAGTGACTGGGTCCAGTTTAATAGCATTAATATTTGCTTATTGGATTTTTAGTCTCTACTCAAGACATGATTTGCACCAAAGTCATCGTAACTTCCTTTGATAAGCATTTTTGATTGACCTTTATTTTAAATTCTTATCTTGATTTTCAGATCAACAGACTATGGAACCACGTTCAAACATGAAGATTCTAAGTTTAAGTCAGAATCCACCAATAATGTGGATTTTTGTTCAAGCAATTATAAGAGGGTTAGTTATTTATTAAAATCCTATCCTCAATTCATCCTCAAGATTGAGAAAACAGCACACTGCAAATTTACACACCAAAATTCTTCTCTACATGCTTGAACATCTGTGAACAGCTGTAGTCTAGACTAGACCACTTGATCTAAATGGACAATGAGTTTCTCACCAAAAAAAAAATGATCAGTTATCTACTTTTGATAAAGAATTCTTTTTGTCTATTGTTGCTTAGGTTATGGTGAGCGTCTCAGTACCTAGCAAAAGTTATCTGTACATCTCAGATGATGAAGGAGCAAGTTTTAAACGTCTTCCTTTGCCTTTTACTCCTCATGTGGTTTCATGCAGTCCTGTAAAATATTCAACTTTGGTAGCTCATGATCAGAGTAAGAAAGAGGTTTGTGGAACTCTCTCTCTCTCTCTCTTAAATGTAAACCGCCTCCCGGTTAGCTCAATTGGTTAGAGCGCCGGATTGTGTTGTGCGGGAGCTCGCGGGTTCGAGCCCCGGCCGGACCAATACTCATGGTCTTAAAATAAGTGAGGAGAATTTGCTACATTTCTGTAATCAAAAAATGGATAGATATTCTAGTCTTCTTGGATAAGGATGAATAAACTGTAGGCCCTGTCTCCTGCAGGGTTAGGGGTAGGAGATGTTAATTTCCCATGCATGAGATTACTGTGTGGTGGATGTCCTCCCCTGGGGTGAGATGGGTGGGAATTGGCCCTGAAAAGCTCCTATGGGGAGTGGTCAAGTAACATATGTATGTAACTGAGCCTCAAAGAATCTGAAGAAGGAGGGTAAATTTCTGAAGAAACTGTGGTGTTGTATTGGCCATCTGTGGCCTTTCCCTACATATTGGCAGCATGGAAAGCCACAAAAACAAAAGAACAAAAATATATCTTTTATTTAGCACTCTTATATTACACATTCTTCTTGCCTAGCTCCATTTTTCTCTTTAGAAACCACACACAGTCCACAATTGCTAAATTCATTCTAACAATGAAAGGGTTAGTACTCAAAACATCAGCGTTAGAATCTCTCTACAGCTGCCAATTTACATTTATTCATCAATGTGGTTGATTAAAACAAAATCATCTTCATCAAAGCTTTGGTGAATGGTGATGGATGTCAACCTTTATTTTGGACTGTATTTAGTGTTGCTTTGGACTTTTTATTTCTATTTTGTTTCAGATTTGGACGATGGATGATGGTGAACATTGGATGCTTTTAGCAGAGAAAGTCCTGAGATATCACTGGTGAGAATACCATAGTGTTGAAAGAGTGATTGGTCTCTGATTTCTCTTTACAGTGTTACCCTTAAATAAATTACTGTAAAAACCTGCAGATAAGCTGCACCCTGAATTTAGTAGCTCAAAATTTTGGAAAAAAGTTTTTTTGAAAGAAATCCAAAGTTGAGTCTTGAGAAGTCTTCTTCATCCACTGTTCATCGAATGTAAACTCACCGTTGACATTGTAGTGGAAAATGCTTTAAAGTCACACCCACAATTTTAGCACTTCTACAAACTTTGAAATATGATTGGACCACTGATGAGTCGACAACTTTAGGAGTTTACGGAAACGACCGTATATCGGATAATCAACGGTTTATTGATATAACTATTCGATCTGAAATCAACAAATTTCACAACAGTTATTTGTGGTATTCACCTACGTTGAGATCCCTAACAAATAAATAAAGAATTACCGTAGAAAACTCAAACCAAACCTACTTCTGTGGCGGGTTTCCATAAACTATGAACTACTGAACTGAAACTGCGGCTTGAATTACCGAACTCGG